CCGAGTTGTGAAACCAAGGTCAAACAACTTCTCTACAACGAAAGGAGACTGCGACCACACAAAAGACCACACCATCTTGGTCTTCATACCTTCAAATTTTACAGAGTTGCAACTGTAAGATGTACCGATTACTACTAACTAGAAAGTTAAGCACTTATCACGTCCATTATTTTACTGAAAGAAACATTCTTGGTAATTTGACTGTCTTCTCAAATTAAAGTGTGTGAGAAGACTTTTAAAAGGTCTGTCTCACCACAATACGACGGCAGATTCCCTTTGGTCTGTTGTAGATTGGTTTATCCTGAAAAATTGGGGTCAAAGCAACCATCGAGACATGCTGAACTGTGTCTCGAAAACCTACTCGTGTCGAGATTATACGCTGCGCTGTCACGGCTCGAGTCCCGCTGGGGGTGTTAGTAAAACCTATGCGAGGTCAAAACTGCATCCCACCCTATATGAGAATAGCTTTTGTTAAAGCAACGATATGTGAAATTGAATGGAAATGCCAGCTCTACTCATCCGATTGTGGGAAAATTCAACTACTAGCCCCTCGACGTCTTTAACGAAATAGGGTGAGCACAGTTCATGTACAATTTGGGCTGTGGCTTTGACCCTGTCGGGATTATCTCACCTACCCCAACTGGATTCGAGACCGAATTAGATGCTTCAAGGGTCAATAGGTCAGGTTGCTGGGCTGACGAGCCGACGAGATCAGCCCAAAGAACATCAGACTTGTCTCAAATGTACATTTACCTCAGAGAAAATAGGATATAGCTATACTTATCCAGCAGAATGGTACTACCAGTGAATACATCTCATACTACTAGAGCTGTTTGGTTACCAGGGGCTTTTTATTTGAACTGCTCCTTAGCCATTACTATCACCACTGCGCTTCTTGCTACCCCATTTGAGTGTGTATAGCGAAGAGCTCACTTTAACGCTAGAATTCGCCATTCTGTAGGCCAATTTCGTACAGACAATTGGCAATCTTCATAAGATAAAATGTATTGAGTTATTTTAATTAATACTGAGGCGATTGTGAACCCGTAGAGTTCGTATAAATGCAGGTTGGAAGCAAGATGGGCGGCGAATTATTAAAGAGATAAAAAGTGGTCCATTCATCAAAGCTTCTTTTACACATTAAACCTCTGATTACTATTTACAGGCGATGTTAGCACATCCTCGATGATCTACACA